TGGGGTCTCTGTAAGCTTCAATATGAGGTCCTAAACCTATATGAGGTCCTAAACCTAGCATGAAAGTGCATCCTTGTAGCTGTGTGGGCTAATGTAGTCAAAATGCTTGCCTTGGGGTAAATTTAGCCAATGGTTAAGCCAATGGCAAATTGAGCAAATGAAAGTGTTTTCTTCCCAGGCATAATGAAATACATTATTGCTGAGATATGAGGCCTGGCCTATGTTAAAAAAAAATAATTAAAGTACAAAGTGCTTGTAGGTGTTAAACCTGTGTTAAAAAATGATTAAAATGATTAAAAGACCAAAAACAGTGATTGTGATTGTGTTTAATTGTGTTTGGAAAATAAAGATAGACATTCAGTACAGTACAATATTTCATTCAGTACAGACATTTGCAGGTGGCTTAACTTACCCTTTCCTGTTGTGCCAATAGACCACCTTTTTTTGGACAAGCTATGTTTTCAAAACTGTAATATTTACATGAATTCTGATTATTTCCAGAGATACACAACATCCTGAAATATATGTATATATCTTTGTTAGAAAGAATTCTACATTTCCCTTGGAGTGATTCTGAATGTAAAAAAATTGCTCAATGTACCCTACTCTCCCCTACAGTTTTGACTAAGTTGAATTATTTCAGTCCCTTTTGAAGTGAAAATAGCAAAGCATCTCTAGTATACGATCGAGCTTCCTAGAGAGACGCTAGTCCTCTCTCTAAGAGGCTATCTCGATCTATCTTTCTCTCAGAATATCTCAATCTCTCTCTCTCCTCCTCCATTCTCCCTCTCTCTCTAAATTTTTCCCAATTTCCCCCTCTCTCTCCTTTTCCTCCCCTTCCTTCCCCTCTCTCCCCCTTTCTCAAAACTACTCCTCTCCCCTCAAATTTCGTCCTGGGTCTTCTCAAAATTCCCTTTTCCCCCTCTCCCCCCTCCCCTCTCTCTCTCTCCCGGGGCCCTCTTGGGGGGGGGGGGTCGGGGGCCAAACGGGCAATTTCAACTCTCTCTCTCCTTTTTCCCTTTCTCTGCGGGGGGGCTTCTCCTCTCTTGGGCCCCCTCTCTCCCCCCCGTTCTCCTCTCTTCTTCGTCCTTCTCCCCCTCTCTCTCTCCCCTTCCCCTTTTCCCTTTCCCCCCCTTTCCCCTTTCCCCCCCCTTTTTCACCTACACAAAAAGATGAAACAAAATTTTTGCCCCGAGGGGTTGATCCAGTATTGGGGATCCTAAAAGCACTTTGTAGATTTTCTTCCCCGGGCAAGGTTAAATTTTATTACCTACAGGAATTTTAACAGTGCCTTTAGTAGGTAGATTATATCCATTGCTGGACTCAGATAACCACACTGTGGTTGGAGTTTACAAACGGCACTCTTGACCTGTGAACTAGAAAGACAGGGCTTAGAGAGTGAGAGCAGAAATATCAATTTGTATAGCAGACCCTCATGCCAAATTGAGTCAAAAGCTTTATTGAAATCAACAAAGCATGAGAAGACTTTGCCTTTGTTTTGTTTTGTTTGTTTGTTTGTCAATTAGGGTGTGCAGGGTGAATACGTGGTCTGTCGTACGATAATTTGGTAAAAAGCCAATTTGACATTTGCTCAGTACATTGTTTTCACTGAGGAAATGAACTAGTCTGCTGTTAATGATAATGCAGAGGATTTTCCCAAGGTTGCTGTTGACGCATATCCCACAGTAGTTATTGGGGTCAAATTTGTCTCCACTTTTGTGGATTGGGGTGATCAGTCCTTGGTTCCAAATATTGGGGAAGATGCCAGAGCTAAGGATGATGTTAAAGAGTTTAAGTATAGCTAATTGAAATTTGTGGTCTGTATATTTTATCATTTCATTAAGGATACCATCAACACCACAGGACTTTTTGGGTTGGAGGGTTTGTATTTTGTCCTGTAGTTCATTCAATGTAATTGGAGAATCCAGTGGGTTCTGGTAGTCTTTAATAGTTGATCCTAAGATTTGCATTTGATCACGTATATATTTTTTGCTGTTTGTTCTCTGTTATAGGGCCAAAAAGATTGGAGAAGTGGTTTACCCATACATCTCCGTTTTGGATAAATAGCTCTTCGTGTTGTTGTTTGTTTAGTGTTTTCCAATTTTCCCAGAAGTGGTTAGAGTCTATGGATTCTTCAATTACATTGAGCTGATTTCTGACATGCTGTTCCTTCTTTTTCCGTAGTGTATTTCTGTATTGTTTTAGTGATTCACCATAGTGAAGGCGTAGGCTCAGGTTTTCTGGGTCTCTATGTTTTTGGTTGGATAGGTTTCTCAATTTCTTTCTTAGGTTTTTGCATTCTTCATCAAACCATTTATCACTGTTATTACTTTTCTTTGGTTTTCTGTTAGAGATTTTAAGATTTGATAGGGAAGCTGAGAGGTCAAATATACTGTTTAGGTTTTCTACTGCCAAGTTTACACCTTCACTATTACAGTGGAACGTTTTGTCCAGGAAGTTGTCTAGAATGGATTGAATTTGTTGTTTCCTAAAGGTTTCAACACTACTTTCCTTCCCTCTATAGCATTTCTTAATATTATTCAGTTCCTTTGGCTTTGATGCCTCATGATTGAGTATTGCTCTGTTCAAGTAGACTCTCTCTCTCTCTCTCTCTCTCTCGCTCTCTCTCACTGTCTGTCAGTTCAGAAACCAACCTTTTCAATTTACTGTTGACAAAGGGAGGATGAGAGTACTGATATTCACTATAAGTAAACATTGCTCTTTTGATCACTGATCTGAGAGATCCTTTACACTTTCCCTCTCTTTTTTATTCTTTCTACTGTACCTCTCCTCCCTACCCACTTTCTCTCTATTCAAACATTACTCTAGTAGATACTGCATGTACCTACAGGGAATGGTTTCCCCAGGAGAGTGTGTTGGTCTCATGACAACTATAACCTTCTTCTTCGTCTTCTTCTTCGTCTTCTTCTTCTATTATATAATGGCGGTCTGCAAACAAACGTTAAAGGTGCATGCCGCCACCTACTGTGCTGGAGTGTGTGGTCAATCACGGTTTACAACATTTCTAAATCCTCCTACCTAACTCAGTACTTCTGAGAAAATAAAGAAGAGCCCTACTAACTTCTAATAGACCCTCCCCCATCCTCCAAAATCCCTTCCAAACCCCACCAACCCCGTCCAACCCAACTATAACCTTTGACCTCACAGAACAGCTCAATATGATTGGTTGGGTAGATCCAGTCAACAAAGCTGTGTGATTCACACAAACACACACCACGCCTGTCTGAACAGAGGAGTCAGTAGGGTGAGTCTGGAAAGGTGTGGTGACTCTGCCTTGCTCAATCTATCCCCATTGTTGTTTTGTCGATGTGACTTGAGATTGTTTCTGTTACTATTGAGCCGTCAAGAAGATCTGTGTGCCTTATTGTGCCTCTAATCTATTATTAGATATGAGAATCTTTCCCAGTGACACAATAACTATTGTGGTTGGATGATCAAGACAGAAACAGAAAGTTATTCCTGTTGAGTTCTGTATAAGACATGCAGTTTCAGTGAGCTTGTGTTGTTACTCTGTCAGCCTTCCTTACCCTATTTTTTGGATGTTGTGTAAATGTGTTTGACCCCCAGCCCCTCTCTGTCTGGTCTGGTTAGAGGGAGGGAGTTTAATTGTGTGAGACGAGCACTCTGCTCATACAACGAGGCCTCGCTGAGTCCCTTTCTCTGCATTATGTCATAAAGGAGCCCTGGAATTCTCTCTGCTGCTGCTGTGTGGAGAAACAAAGAGCGAACTTTGAACTCTACTGGTCAGCTGCCTGGAGATAAGGAAGGCAGCGGGGAGCGGGTTTAGAGAGGCCGTCACCTGCCACGCGACAAGCAGGACAACACGCTACACGTCAGCTGGAGACGCGGTTCTGTACCACACTGGAGGACCTACAGGAGAACTGGCAGTGTGTCCTCTGAGGTGTGACTATAACCCCTATACAGAATACATGGTATACACCACTGGGGAACACATCGAAGATCTTGAGAGAAGGGATATAAAGAAAAGGAGTCCTAAAGGAGTGATCAGTGAACGCCATGCAGCTGAATTCCCTGGCACAGGTAAGTGGCTTTTCTGGTTCTCCAGAGCACAGAAGAGCAGAGCAAAGACCGTCAGGCATGCAGGTGAGGCCAGGCTGGGCTCTGGAATGTATTTTAGCAGTCCCCATACAGACAGTACAGCAGTGGTATTCAAAGTCGGGGTCTGCAGTGGTTTTCGCCAAAATAAAATAAAAATTAAGAGTACAGATTATTGTATGGGACAATATACAAACGTTTTTGAGAAAGATAATTGGCAAAATTTAAATGTATTGAGTAAATGTATTTATTGGTTTCTTTTCATTTTGATAAGAGATGAAAATGTAATGAATTGAAGGTTATTTGTTGATGTAAAAATCGAAAATGTACCGATTTTAAGGTTGTGTCATTGTATTTGGGGTGGGGTTATAAGAAATTATAGCGAAAAAAAAGCAGAAGAAATGGGGTCCCTGCTGCAAAAGTTTGAATACCACTGGGAGAGAGGGATAAATGGAGGGAGAGAAAGAGAGGGCGAGTCATACACGGAATCATTTCAGCTTAAGGAGAGCGAGGGGGCTGACTCTCACTGGCTCCATGGGTAACTAACAACACTCCTGCCCCCCAGGCAGGGGGAGGAGGAAGAGGGGGCAGGAGAGAGAGGGAGAGAGAGAGAGAGAGAGAGAGAGAGAGAGAGAGAGAGAGAGGAAGGAGAGAGAGAGACTAGGGAGAGCTACTGGCCTCAGTGTGCCGTGCAGTTGCTAACCTATGTGAGACTGAGCCCTGAAGTGTGTGTTGTTGTTGTGTTGCCTCACCGGGACTTGAGAATGACAGGGATGGATTTTCTCCTGGATTCTGGCTAATGTTTGATGGATTCTACGCTCTCCTCTGCCCTGAAGCCAAACCCTACAGGAACAACCCCACCGTCTCAGATCTGAGAACAGGAGGGGGACACACACCCCACACGGAGCCTGGAGCCCGTTGCCATGGCGATGACGGCCCTTTTCAGGGGCAAGTGGGGTCAAAAGTCACAGGAGCCCCCTGAGAAGCGGCCCACAACACCGGTGTACTCCAATCACGAGGAGGATGAGGAGGATGACAGGGTCATCACCCCCATCCGCAGGAACTCCCGCTTCTACCGTTCCATGAGGAAGAAGAAGCTGGCCTCGTCAGAACAACCTGAACGTAAGAATAGAATACCCCCCTCTTCCCTTCTGCTCTGAATTTCACCAACCATCTGTGTCTTTTGTCTGCTACAGTGGACAGTCATTCAGTTTGAGAATACAATAATGCATTCCATTTGAAAATACCTGGGATTCAGGTAGCATGGAATAATGATAATCTATGTCTACAGCAGTTTTAGGAAAGTTCTGACGTTTGTCTACATCTAACCTCATGTAAGGTCCTAATTCTGGAGTTTAAAGCTGAGCTGCTTGGGTAACTGGATCTCTTTAGCAGTGGTGGGAAAAGTACCCAATTGTCATTAAGATACCTTAATAGAAAATTAATGAAGTAAAATACTACTTGAGTAAAAGTGTGAAAGTGTTTGTTTTTAAATATACTTAAGTATCAAAAGTAAATGTAATTGCTAAAGTACACTACATGACCAAAAGTATGTGGACACCATCTCATTCCAAAATATGGTGGTCCACCCTTTGCAAACCTTTAAGCAAACCAGACGGCATGATTTTCTTGTTTTTTTAATTGACAGATAACCAGGGGCACAAACACTCAGACATAATTTACAAACAAAGCATTTGTGTTTAATGAGTTTTCCAGATCAGAGGCAGTAGTGTGTTAATTGGAAAATGTTCCTGTCCTGCCAAGCAACTGACATTTAAAGAGTACTTATTGGGTGTCAGCGAAAGCTTATGGAGTAAAAAGTACTATATTTTCTTTAGGAATGTAGTGGAGTAAAAGTATAAGTTGTCAAAAATGTCAATAGTAAAGTACACATACCCCAAAAAACTACTTATGTAGTACTTTAAAATATTTTTACTTAGTTACTTTACACCACTGCTCTTTATATCCCATTGATGGACAGAAGAACCCCTGACCCCTTTCCTAAAATCAGCCAGCCAGTCTGTCTGGGGTATCATTGTTGTTATTCTGTGGTGTTCCATAGATCGCAGAACAGGAGCGGTTGTATTGTTGGCCGGTCCTGAGAGCTAATGAAAGCTAATGAAACCAGAGGAACCGGTTCCATTGTTTTAAAATATGAGTGAGTGATACCTGTGTGAGTGATGCATGTTCTTCTAGCCACCCACCTTTAACCTCCAGCCTACAAGCTTCATATAGCCTGAGGCTGGAGAGGAGGAGAGCTACCGTCACTGAAATACACCCTTCCCACTGGGCAAAAAGTGGTTGAATCAACGTTGATTCCACGGAATTTCAATGTGATGACGTTGAATCAACTTGGAAAACTGATTGGATTTGAAAAAAGTAATGAATTCGTAAGGGAATTTTCACCCAACTTTTAACCTAAATCCAATAACAGGGTGATATTTTTTGTTGATTTCACGTTGAATTCACGTTGAATTCACATTAGTTGACAACAACCAAGTGAAAATCTAAACTAGATGTTGAACTGACGTCTGTGCCCAGTGGGTTGTTAACATTTACTAAGTACCATAATATATTGCTATTGTCAACAAAGTATTCAGATACATGAATGTGTAGGCCACTGGACGATGTACTGTGTGACTACACTAGTGCGTTCTACGGCAGTACTGTATGCTGTTTTTATTTCAACCATCCCCCTCTTTTTGTTTATTACCCAAAATAAAGATGGCACCTGTACATGGTGCAGGCTACCATGAATAGACAGACAGTTCATTTCTCCAGGACTCTTTCCTGGTCCCTGGTAGACTTTGCCCAGCCTGTGGGATAGGCTTTTAGTGTGTGAGGGACATTACTTTATATATGACCAGTTAGGTCCGGAGAGTCAGACGACCTAGTTAAACAAGAGCACGTTGTAAAAGTTTTCATAAAACATATGGGACACTTATAAAATAGGATGAAAAGAGGTGATGCCCTTAGATGAACTAAGCATCAAAGACTGTAACCGTTGATATTTCCTTCTTGAAGGATTTGAGTCCTTTGAGACAATGTCAAACCATTATTCAACCTCTAGTCAAAGCTGGTTACGACTTTCAGTTTGGGGATAACCTTATCTTATCTCTGTCCTAGTGCTCTTTCTTATTATGGGAGTTGTATAACAATTGTTGTTGAACTTTTTCATTCCCCACACGCTCTCAAAACAATTTTGAATCTACAGGAAGGATGTACAGTAATGGGTAGATGAGTTTAGAAAGATAGGTTGATGTTTGTGTAAACGACCTACATGTTGGCTAGTAAGGAGTTTGTTGTGGATGATCTTACAGTACTGGGATAGCTGCACTTTTAGTGCCCGATTGTGGACATGTGTTTTTTCTGTCTGTTGCTATGAACAAGTGCTGTGGGTGCCCTTGTATGGGAATGGACTGGCTTTTTTTTAATAGCTACTAAGGTGTATGGGACTGGACTGGCTGTTTCATAGCTACTGAGGTGTATGGGACTGGACTGGCTGTTTAATAGCTACTGAGGTGTGTGGGGCTGGCTGTTTCATAGCTACTGAGGTGTGTGAGACTGGACTGGCTGTTTCATAGCTACTGAGGTGTGTGAGACTGGACTGGCTGTTTCATAGCTACTGAGGTGTGTGAGACTGGACTGGCTGTTTCATAGCTACTGAGGTGTGTGGGACTGGCTGTTTCATAGCTACTGAGGTGTGTGAGACTGGACTGGCTGTTTCATAGCTACTGAGGTGTGTGAGACTGGACTGGCTGTTTTATAGCTACTGAGGTGTGTGTGGGACTGGACTGGCTGTTTCATAGCTATTGAGGTGTGTGGGGCTGGACTGGCTGTTTCATAGCTACTGAGGTGTGTGAGACTGGACTGGCTGTTTCATAGCTACTGAGGTGTGTGTGGGACTGGACTGGCTGTTTCATAGCTACTGAGGTGTGTGAGACTGGACTGGCTGTTTCATAGCTACTGAGGTGTGTGAGACTGGACTGGCTGTTTCATAGCTACTGAGGTGTGTGGGGCTGGACTGGCTTTTTTATAGCTACTGAGGTGTGTGGGACTGGACTGGCTGTTTCATAGCTACTGAGGTGTGTGGGACTGGCTGTTTCATTTCTACTGAGGTGTGTGGGACTGGACTGGCTGTTTCATAGCTACTGAGGTGTGTGGGGCTGGATTGGCTTTTTTATAGCTACTGAGGTGTGTGGGACTGGCTGTTTCATAGCTACTGAGGTGTGTGGAACTGGCTGTTTCATAGCTACTGAGGTGTGTGGGACTGGCTGTTTCATAGCTACTGAGGTGTGTGGAACTGGCTGTTTCATAGCTACTGAGGTGTGTGGAACTGGCTGTTTCATAGCTACTGAGGTGTGTGGGACTGGCTGTTTCACAGCTACTGAGGTGTGTGGGACTGGCTGTTTCATAGCTACTGAGGTGTGTGGGACTGGCTGTTTCATTTCTACTGAGGTGTGTGGGACTGGACTGGCTTTTTTATAGCTACTGAGGTGTGTGAGACTGGACTGGCTTTTTTATAGCTACTGAGGTGTGTGAGACTGGACTGGCTGTTTCATTTCTACTGAGGTGTATGGGACTGGACTGGCTGTTTCATAGCTACTGAGGTGTGTGTGGGGCTGGACTGGCTGTTTCACAGCTACTGAGGTGTGTGTGGGGCTGGACTGGCTGTTTCATAGCTACTGAGGTGTGTGAGACTGGACTGGCTGTTTCATAGCTACTAAGGTGTATGGGACTGGACTGGCTGTTTCATAGCTACTGAGGTGTATGGGACTGGACTGGCTGTTTCATAGCTACTGAGGTGTGTGGGGCTGGCTGTTTCATAGCTACTGAGGTGTGTGGGACTGGCTGTTTCATAGCTACTGAGGTGTGTGAGACTGGACTGGCTGTTTCATAGCTACTGAGGTGTGTGAGACTGGACTGGCTGTTTCATAGCTACTGAGGTGTGCGAGACTGGACTGGCTGTTTCATAGCTACTGAGGTGTATGGGACTGGACTGGCTGTTTCATTTCTACTGAGGTGTATGGGACTGGACTGGCTGTTTCATAGCTACTGAGGTGTGTGTGGGACTGGCTGTTTCATAGCTACTGAGGTGTGTGGGGCTGGACTGGCTGTTTCATAGCTACTGAGGTGTGTGGGACTGGACTGGCTGTTTCATAGCTACTGAGGTGTGTGGGACTGGACTGGCTGTTTCATTTCTACTGAGGTGTGTGGGACTGGACTGGCTGTTTCATAGCTACTGAGGTGTGTGGGACTGGCTGTTTCATAGCTACTGAGGTGTGTGTGTGGGACTGGACTGGCTGTTTCACAGCTACTGAGGTGTGTGGGACTGGACTGGCTGTTTCATAGCTACTGTGGTGTGTGGGACTGGACTGGATGTTTCATAGCTACTGAGGCGTGTGGGACTGGACTGGCTGTTTCATAGCTACTGAGGTGTGTGGGACTGGACTGGCTGTTTCATAGCTACTGAGGTGTGTGGGACTGGCTGTATCATAGCTACTGAGGTGTGTGGGACTGGACTGGCTGTTTCATTTCTACTGAGGTGTATGGGACTGGACTGGCTGTTTCATAGCTACTGAGGTGTGTGAGACTGGACTGGCTGTTTCATAGCTACTGAGGTGTGTGAGACTGGACTGGCTGTTTCATAGCTACTGAGGTGTGTGGGACTGGCTGTTTCATAGCTACTGAGGTGTGTGGGACTGGCTGTTTCATAGCTACTGTGGTGTGTGAGACTGGACTGGCTGTTTCACAGCTACTGACGTGTGTGGGACTGGACTGGCTGTTTCACAGCTACTGAGGTGTGTGAGACTGGACTGGCTGTTTCATAGCTACTGAGGTGTGTGGGATTGGACTGGCTGTTTCACAGCTAATGAGGTGTGTGGGACTGGCTGTTTCATAGCTACTGAGGTATGTGGATGTGTAAATTAATCTCACTGTTCTGTCGGTGTAATAAGTAGAACAAGTGTTCAGTGGAGTGTGTGGTGGACGTGTGTCCATAGTATTAAATGGCCTTATTTTGTCCAGGCTGCTAGGCTGTTGCATAACCACTTATTAGCAGACTGATGGCCAATGTACACAGAACAGTTAAGTCTGTTTCGAAATTATTTTTTATTTTTCACTGGAATCCTTCTACAAATACCTGAACAGGGATATATTATGTCAAAGGATTATATTATTTTGTATATTTATACAACGGGTGGGTCTAATCCTGGATGCTGATTGGTTAAAACCGCATTCCAGCCGGTGTCTCTTCCACAAATTACCACCAGCTAAATCTATGACGTTGAAATGCCTATTTACTCTGTTCCATCTGACTGGGTAATCCACTGTCTCATCAACTCAGCCAGGCAATGTATATACTAGATCTACCCTGTAAAAAGCATCTAGACATCTCTCATTTCTTTTAGACTAGCATTTGGTTTTCAACAGCAGAGATTTGTAATAACCTTGCTGGCTGTCTCTCCGACATTTGCAACATTGTTTCAATATTGAAATTCGATCTCCAGCTGTCCTATGGTAATGAACGCGTTGGGACGAGACAGACAGGCTGGCAGCTTTTCTCAGCCAGTCGAAATCATAGATCAGCATCATTTTTATGGACATATACCAAAAAAATGTCAATAGAAAAACACGAAATGCAGCTAGTTTGCTGTCAATCACTTCAAACTGAAGCTGGAATGTGTTACCTGTGTAGTTGGCAATCTCTTCTGAACAGTGGCCTGGCGAGAGAGCAAATGTTCTTTGCCAGGCAAAATCGCACATCATTAGCTCATTGTTATGGATGTATCTCCAAAACATCACTAAACAGCTTAAACAAACGCAAATGCAGCTACTTTGCTGTTTTTCTGGCTACACTGTTTGACGGGACAGTGTTAGTCAAAGTTAGCTAGCTAGTAAGCAAGGGATAAGAACGTTGCCAGCCATCATAGCAACGGAACATTTAGAACCAACGACTGGGTCGTATCCATAGATTTAGAACAAAAATACTTAACGACTGGGTCGCGTCTCTGGCAACCGATAGCACGAATGACAAGCTGGCTTGGGTACTAACATTTAATTGTGTCGGGACTATATCTCGTGGAAGTATGAAATAGTATAAATAAGTTCATAAAAATAAAGTTTTTAATGAAAATATATCAATCATTATTTGAATATGTTGGTAACCCGTTGTATAAAAGTGATAATGCCTGAGAAGCCGATGTTTGGAGGATATATAGGCATGGTTACCGTCCCGAGACAAACCTGTGCCAATATATCATCCAAACACCGGCTTCTCGGGCATTATCACTTAAATAGAACACCATGTGCCTTTGCCCTATATGGTCTTAGATCAGCAGAAAAGGGTGGCACTTTGCAACTCTATTGAACTGAAGCATATCATTAATTACTTAATGGGTGGGTGCATAGAACTTCTGTTACAACAATAACCTGGAACATATGGAAGCAACTGACCCCGAATAAGTAGGAGGTAATCTCAGAAAAGGGGAATTTACCTGAGTTTGAAGGCTAGCTATCCAGATTGGCCCATGCAATCCGTAGTCCTTGGAAAGTCCCTACCCCATTAAAGTTGTCATTTTAAATGGTTAAGGTAAGGGTTAGGGTAAGGGTTAAGGTTTAGGGTAGGGACGTCACAAGGATCCGAGTTAAGATTAGATAGGTCAAAGAAAAGGAAGTACCTTGGCCACTGTCGAGTGTTCGGAAAATTCAAACTGTATGCCCATTGGCCAGAATCTTACAATGCTATCCCATCATCTCCCTACTCGATTTACCTGAAGTCCCAGTGAATTAGGGCAAAGAAATATGGATATGTAACAAGGCCACAGGAATGTATTACGATTGAAGGAATGTGACATGCTTATTTAATCCTTAATCCTTAATCCTTGCATTATGAACACTGGATTCAGTCCTAACATGACGGCTAAAGCAGTCTCGTCTAGAAGTAGTGCAGCACTGGCTCGATATATCAATGTTTTCTTTCCATTACTGATGATTTGTGCAAACACTTTCTAGAGACCTTGCTGTAATGGAATTTATGAACCATGAGTTTATCATTATTAGGGATGAAGTTTTTCCTGCTCAGGTCGCATGGTCCTGAAAAACTGCATCAGTTTATATAGAACCAGAATGGAGCTGCTAGGCAAACAGTGCCATTGAAAAACAATCACTAAGTAGACTAGTTCAGCACTGGGAGGATAACCCAGTTATTCACGTGTCCCAGGGTACAGTAATCTGCTGAAAACACACTCTCTCTCAATCCAACTCAGGAGGCTCTCCTAGCAACACATTCTTCCATCTAAAGGAGGTTTCAAAGTCATGACTACCTGCCAGTCAGCCCTGTACTCACTGTGTGTGTGTGTGTGTGTGTGTGAGTGTGTGTGTGTGTGTGTGTGTGTGTGTGTGTGTGTGTGTGTGTGTGTGTGTGTGTGTGTGTGTGTGTGTGTGTGTGTGTGTGTGTGTGTGTGTGTGTGTGTGTGTGTGTGTGTGTGTGTGTGTGTGTGTGTGTGTTTAATAGAGGAAAATAGAGAAATAGTATTTTCATTTCCTTGTCCTTCACTCACTGTTCCCTCTTTGCTCACTCACCCATTTCCCTTAATCCTTACTTATCCTCTCTCTCTTTCTCTCTCTCTCTTCCTCTCTCTCTCTCTCTCTCTTTCTCTCTCTCTCTCTTCCTCTCTCTCTCTTCCTCTCTCTCTTCCTCTCTCCCTTTTCTAGGCCCTGCAGTCTCTCTGAGGCCTGGTCCAGAGCCCAGCCCAGCCAGCAGGTCAGGCAGCAGCTCCCTCAGTGTCCCTGATCTCCAGAAACCTCCCCTATCTCCCCGGGCACGACGGTGAGCCTCGCCATAAGCAAGCCCAGACCGATTCAAACACAGACACCCAGACGCTCACACGCAGACACACACTCAAACTGAGAAGCAAACAGTATATCATTGTCTTTTATGAGCTGCCTTTCCATTGAGTGAGATATGAGTCTAGAGCAAGCTGCACTGCTCTTTGTCCCATATATTGTGTCAAGGAATATCTGTTTTCTGAATGTGTTACAGTAAAATTTACGTTTGAGTCATTTAGCAGACGCTCTTATCTAGAGCGACTTACAGTAGTGAGTGCATACATTTTCATACTTTGTCGTTACTCTAATACAGTTATAGTTATATTTTCCTCCTCATCTTCAAGTAGAGATATCACTCTTCCTTATTGTTATTACAGCTACTTATTACTGTGTACCTCTTGTATGTAGTACGCCAACATCTCCATGTCCACTCCATTCTGGAACTGCGTTGCCAAGCAACGGGGAGCCCAGGAGCCCACACACACTTTCTAGCGTGGCCTCTTCCCCTCTTTGGACGAGGAGAGGAGGAGGAGGAGGAGGAGGGAGGAAGAGTGCAGATGCTTCTCCAGCTAGCGGTCAGTGTGGAGGGGGCTCCACTTCCTCCTCCTCCGTTCCTAGCGCTCCGTTGTACCGGGCGCACGGCATAAACACACACACTGAAGACATGGAGAGCCTCTCAGAACGCACCGCCGCCGCCTGCTCCGTACGGGAGCCCGGAGGGGACACACAGTCACCGCAACCAGCAGAGGAGGAGGTCGACATAGAGGGAGTCAAACTCAGGTAAAAATATGGGGAGGGGGAGAGGAATTGTTGGGTTCTGCAAGTGGTAATTATGTGCTAGTTGGTAATTGATTAGTGAAAGTGCAGTATGTTGCAGGTGATTTATTTCTGTATAATAATATGCTTAAGAGGGTGAGCTTTTTGAAGAGGTGCTCAGTGAAGTACTGAAACAGTGTGTAGTGAGCTAGGCAGGGTGGAAATAGAGAAGTAGTCCTCAGATTTTTCTTGCCGCATTTCAACAAGTGTGCCTGTAGAATGAGAGGAAGTGAAAGTTGCAGCATTTCTGCACCTTCTATCAAATACATTGTAAAAAAAAGAGTTTAAATCTTGGGGCATGAATATATTCCTTATTTTATGGGAACGTGCCTTTTAAAATGCATATTATTGATCTCGAGGATGGAATCTCTCATAGAAGGAATGTCTGTTAGAACAAGGATCTATAGGTAGCCTGTTGAGATGTGAATATCTAGCATTTCTCATGCAGTGTTAGGCAGCCCACGCAAAATGAACAGATGGTATTTGGACAATGTGAAATGAAATGCTCTCAATCTGACTCTCATAGACCTCCAGATGCTCCAATGAGTTTCCTCGAATTGTTGTAAATTATCGGATGAATACTGTTTTGTCGTTGACGTCAAGGCATCTCCTTGCTCATCGCTCATCTTTATTTTTCTCTCTTTTTCTTTCTCTCATTCTCTCTTTCTCTACTCAGGTTGGTGAGCAACGGGGAAAGAAAGGGCTCAACACCATTGAAAATAGAATCCATCTGCTACAGTCTCAACATTGTTAAGAATATTGGTGAGTAAAATGTAGCCAGTAGAACTGTCAATTCCACGCAAGGTGGAGGTAACATATGTATTCCACCCACAGCACCACAACCTCCAGAGCTGCTGCTGCTCTAACATAATCATATTTTCTGTTCCACCACGCACACATGCACAGGTAGTGGTACACACAAACACATGCAGGTACACACATGAATGCAGGTATGAACACACACACGCACGCACTCACACACACTGCTGTTAACAACAACATATCCTATGACAAAGCCTTAAAAATAACAAGATTTCCCTTAAGTAGCATCCATCTATCACTTACAACTTCACTGTGCATGCGTCAAGGTTGAAGGTTAAGTTTAGTGTGTGGCGGGGCTCAGTTCTCTGTACTTACAGTAATGGGTATAGATGAGTTCAGAGCAGGGTCAAAGGTCAGGTGCTGCACACCTGCAGAGTCAAAGGTCAGGTGCTGCACACCTGTTCTGTGGGTGTAAATAAAAGGATGTCCTTTGAAGGGATGCATTAATGGAATAACTCAGGAGAAAGTGCTTCTTGTCAACATGTTGGTTCAAGCATGCCTCTCTCTTTCTCCTTCTCTCTCAATCTCACCCTCTCTTACCCTCTCTCGCCATCTCTCGCTCTCCCTGTCTTTATATCCCTCTTTTCTCTCTCCCTCTCTTATATAAGTGTCAATACCAGACGCCCACCTACAATAGGTTAGCATTTGAATCTGACTAAGGGGGCTTATGCAACTGTTTCCTGCTGTTCAACGTCACCTTAACCTCTATGTAGCGTGAGAGGACCGAACACACGCATGCACGCGCACACACACACACACACACACAGTGCCAATGTTCTCCTCTGCAACTATCCACCCTGCTTATCAATGTGCAAATATTCAGCCCTCTTTCACCTGAAACTGGCTGAGGGAGAGGTAAAGAGAAAGAAAGGAGAGGACTGATAGAGAAATGTGTAGTCAGTCAGCCACTGGTGGCCCGCCAACATGCAAAGGAGATGAGATCCATTATTTCAAAGGAGATGAGATCCATTCTTTCAAAGGAGTTGAGATCCATTCTTTCAAAGGAGATGAGATCTATTATTTCAAAGAAGATGAGATCCATTCTTTCAAAGGAGTTGAGATCCATTATTTCAAAGGAGTTTTGATCCATTCTTTCAAAGGAGATGAGAACTATTCTTTCAAAGGAGATGCGATCCATTCTTTCAAAGGAGATGAGATCCATTCTTTCAAAGGAGATTAGAGCTATTCTTTCCAAATTGTACACAATAACTCATGTAGTTACAACTCCACGATGTCACATAAATATGAAGGGAATGTTTTAGTTCTGGGTCACGGGGGTCAATGTAAAGACACCAAAGTGTGGTTGTGAGTTATACGTTTGATTGCCCCATGGGCCACATATGCTGTATGATGTGGCTTCGGACTAAAGTGTCTGCTAAATAACCCTAATAATATATGATTGTTATCAAACCAAACATGCCTGTTTCCTCAGACTCATGTTGTCTTCCTTGTGTCCTTTGTTCTTTCTGTTTTGTCCCTTTTTGTCCCTCCAGCCTTCCTGTACCAGGAGTACCGGGACACATCCAAGCAGCAGGAGATCGAGCAGCGACGGCAGCAGGATGGGTTGACCTCAGGGATCAGCGCAGGGTTAGGGGTGACGTCCCCACCGGCCCTGCAGCTGCAACTGAGGAACAACTCCTGCTCTCTGAGTCTGTGGCAGAACCTGGAGGTTGTGCAGCAGAGCGGCCTGCTCACCCAGCTACTGCAGAGAGAGGTCATCATACAAGAGGTGAGAGGTCAAAGGTCATACAGTAGAGGGAAAGGTCAGAGAGGTCTTACCTGAATGGTAAGTGAGAGCCTTACATGACCTGTGTCCTCTCTCTCTTCTCTAGGCCATGTTTGAGCTGGTGACCTCAGAGGCATCCTACTACAAAAGTCTGGAGGTGCTGGAGACCCACTTCCTGAAGAACCCTGTGCTGGTCAAAACACTCAGCCAATCAGACATGCACTTCCTGTTCTCCAACATCAAGGAGGTGATGAAGGCCAGCGAGAGGTAAAAGAAGCGTGTGTGACTAATCAGCCCCCCCATCCTCTCTGCAACGTTTGATTACTGACCCCACTAAACTGCTGTTAAGCTTTCTGAAAGTAAAAAGTAAACAAGTCCTTATTCATCTTTCATTCCATATCATACTGTAATAGTTGTATGGTGAACTTTATTCACTTGTCCCCTGCTGATGATGTCATACTATACATCCTTCCTTAGGTTCCTGATGGACCTGGAGAACCGCATCGAACAGTCGCTCCAGATCTCAGATGTGTGTGACATTGTCCACCACCACGCCGTCAAGCACTTCCACGTCTTTATCACCTATGTCATCAACCAGGTGTACCAGGAGAAGAACTACCGACGCATTCTGTGGGTACCCCTTCAACTAATGTCTACAGTAGTAGGATATATTGTGTAACCTCTCTGTGGGTACCCCTCCAACTAATGTCTACAGTAGTACGATATGTGGTGTAACCTCTTTGTGGGTACCCCTCCAACTAATGTCTACAGTAGTACGATATGTGGTGTAACCTCTTTGTGGGTACCCCTCCAACTAATGTCTACAGTAGTACGATATGTGGTGTACCCTCTCTGTGGGTACCCCTCCAACTAATGTAGTATGATATGTGGTGTACCCTCTCTGTGGGTACCCCTCCAACTAATGTAGTATGATATGTGGTGTACCCTCTCTGTGGGTACCCCTCCAACTAATGTAGTATGATATGTGGTGTAACCTCTCTGTGGGTACCCCTCCAACTAATGTAGTATGATATGTGGTGTACCCTCTTTGTGGGTACCCCTCCAACTAATGTAGTATGATATGTGGTGTACCCTCTCTGTGGGTACCCCTCCAACTAATGTAGTATGATATGTGGTGTACCCTCTCTGTGGGTACCCCTCCAACTAATGTAGTATGATATGTGGTGTAACCTCTCTGTGGGTACCCCTCCAACTAATGTAGTATGATATGTGGTGTAACCTCTCTGTGGGTACCCCTCCAACTAATGTAGTATGATATGTGGTGTAACCTCTCTGTGGGTACCCCTCCAACTAATGTCTACAGTAGTACGATATGTGGTGTAACCTCTCTGTGGGTACCACTCCAACTAATGTAGTATGATATGTGGTGTAACCTCTCTGTGGGTACCCCTCCAACTAATGTAGTATGATATGTGGTGTAACCTCTCTGTGGGTACCCCTCCAACTAATGTCTACAGTAGTAGGATATGTGGTGTACCCTCTCTGTGGGTACCCCTCCAACTAATGTCTACAGTCGTACGATATGTGGTGTAACCTCTCTGTGCAGTAGTAAAATAGGGATGGTGTTGTGGTTGGTATGGTAGCTGTGCCAAACTGTTGCCCATCACAGATAATTATTTTCAATTAAGAGTTGACAGTTCAAATCATGCTTGAATTGAGTAAGACCATCTATGTGATTTATGCGCAGTAGACCTATGTACTGTGTGTGTACTGACTGAATAACACAGGACTTTCAGCACAATGGAAAGTGGCTGTCCATCATATTGACTGAACAGAACAAATCCTTGAGAAAGAACCCTGAGCTGTGGCTATGATAACAGCAGAACCCTATGATGACAACAGAACTATATGATAACAACAGAACCCTATGATAACAACAGAACCCTATGATAACAACAGAACCCTATGATAACAACAGAACTCTATGATAACAACAGAACTCTATGATAACAACAGAACACCTCTGTCTTGAATAACATTCTGTTCACCTGTCCTGATCTGGATGAAGCACACACTTCCCCTCTATATGTGTGTATATCTGTGTGTGTGTGTATTTATGTGTCTCTGTGTGTGTATGAGTATGCGTATGTGTCCATACTTGTGTCTGGGCGGATTCGTCTCTGTGCCTATATATGTATGTCTGTGTGTGTATGTGTGAGTCAGCCTGTATTTGTGTTTTTAATGAGAGAACCGAACAGGGTTTGCATTGATAATGAAGGCAGGCAGGCTGCGTTGTGAGGTAGCAGCAGTAGCAGGGTGTGGTTGGTTGTCAACGTAGATGTCTGTCCTGTCCCTCACCACCATCACCACATACCTGAGAGAGAGATTGACGCTCCCACGCAGGCAGCCCTACAGGACTGACAGCATGGATGGTAGAGACACACCGGGAGCTGAGCCAGTTACCAATCACCAGACGCACACTGGAAAAAACATACCATGGAGTTTAGAGCTGTGAAGCAATACCCAAATATGACATATCAAGAGATTTAGGGTAGGAATTGGGGCCTGATTTTCGGAACTCCATCACCTACATCACCTATCATATCACATCACATCATTACATTACATTTACTCATACCTCAGTGATTTACATGTAACTGCCAAAATAAAGGAAACACCAACATAAAGTGTCTTAATAGGGTGTTGGGCCACCATGAGCCAGAACAGCTTCAATGTACCTTGGCATAGATTCTACAAGTGTCTGGAACTCTATTGGAGGGATGTGACGCCATTCTTCCAGAAGAAATTCCACCATTTGGTGTTTTGTTGATGGTGCTGGAAAACGCTGTCTCAGGGCATATGGTTTGCATCTTTTTCATGCTCATCAAACCATTCAGTGACCAATCGTGCCCTGTGTGGAAGGTGGCATTGTCATCCTATGGGGGTATAGCCATGGTAGCCAAAATAATGGACTGCCCAGCATTTCTATACATGACCCTAATCACAATTGGATGTTAATAGCTTCATTACTCAGGAATAACACCTGTGTGGAAGCACCTGCTTTCAATATACTTTGTATCCCTCATTTACTCAAGTGTTTCCATTATTTTGGCAATTACCTGTATGCGCTGTACTGACATGTTCCGTATAATGTGATATAGTGACCGTTAACGACATACAGAACATCAGTGACTATGCTGTGAGTCACCTAGGTATTGGTGACGTTAGTGTGAGCAGCTGTTTTGCTCTGCAGTGAGTGCATTCTCCCCTCAAGGCTGGCTGGGAGATTCTTAAGAGGTTTTCACTGCTACCTCTCATTCCTAACCAGATTATTGACAGGCTGCACGTAGCTTGCGTCAAAATTTAGCAAAGGCGATTGTTGCCCTCTCTATGCAAAAAACACCTCTCATTCTTATAAAACACAGTGGGAAAGAACTAAGCTTGCTGAGCTAGAAATCAGGCTAACTTTAGAGAGGTAGACCTCTGCTGGGCATTTGGTTGTACTGCCAAGACAGGGTGAAGTCATAGTTAACAGGTGGCTGTGGTTTTTCGTAGGACACATCGTATGGATGGATGGATTTGTGTGGTCTGTGTGTTTGGACCTGCCTGGATGACGTCAGTGTGGTGATTTGTTGCTCTGAGTAAAAGTTCCCCTAATATCATAAAGCATTAGTAGTAGTAGTCTGTTGCAACATCTATCAACTCTGTGAAGCTTGTCTACTCTCTGCGTAGGCCGTATGTTGTCAGACAATCTCACTGATTCAGTCTGTGGTTGTTTGAACATGCTTGTGTTTTGTGTTGGCTGTCTTTGTGGTGGTTTGAACATGTCTGTGTTTTGTCCAGACAGGGAAACCAGTCGTTCCGCGAGACCATGGTTCAGCTGGAGAACCATCCGTGTGTCCGAGGCCTCTCCTTCACCTCTTTCCTCATCCTCCCCTTCCAGAGGATCACAAGACTCAAAATGCTGGTCCAGGTAAGTGGAGCAAGAGAGTGGGCTGAACCAAGACGGTAGAAAGATGGGGGGAGCATGGCGTTTCTGAAAAGCGAGTTGTGATAATGCTTTACTGTGTGCTAACATATGGCAGTATCAGTATTCAGGATGTAATTTTTGCGTTGAGCTTCTGATGCTGTGTTTGCTTGCAGAACATTCTGAAGAAGGCGGAGGGGGATTCCGAGATGGAGGCCAATGCTATCAAGGCTCACCAGCAGCTGGAGCAGGTACAGTAGGGAGGGGTGCTGACTTTGCTTGGGTCCAGTACTGACACAGGTACAGTAACAGTACCAAACCAGTTTACAGTGCCAAACCAGTTTACAGTACTAAAAAAGTCTGGGATTTGGTTCAGTACTGGCCTGGGGCGTGTTGGAGGAAGTAATGCTGGTGGTGATTATAGGCTCAGGGCATGTCATGGTGTTGAGTGTTACATTAAATACTTTAGTCATTTAGCAGACGCTCTTATCCAAGCACTTACAGGAGCAATTAGGGTTAAGTGCTGCTTAAGGGACATGACAGATTTTTCACCTAGTCGGCTCGGGGATTAGAACCAGCGACCTTTCGGTTACTGGCACAACGCTCTTACCCACTAAGCTACCTGCCGACCCATCAAAAACAATCATTGCCATCATCATGTTGGGGAGACTTAGTGTTGTCACGCCTCTCTATGCTTTGCATGGAATGATGATTGTCATGATACCACAAACGAAGGAATGTGGTTTTAATTGGAGCATAGCCTCTACATAAATATAGGGTTTGCTCTCTGAAACAGGTTCAGCACCCATTCCTTTGAAGTCACAATTTGCATATATTCTTTGGCTCCCAGTAATGTTTTGTTAAAGAGATTCTCCGGTACTTTTGTATATTTTTTTGCCAGTAGTTCAGAAAGTAGCGCTCACGATCCAAAAGTGGTCTGCAAAAATGTAGTACTACGTCACATATGTACAGATATGTTAACCACGTCATTGCTCTCTCTCTCTCTCTCTCTCTCTCGCTCTTCTGTCTGTGCATCTTGCTAGCTGTCACTCAAATGGCGAGGGCTGAAGCTCATTGGCTAGAACTGGAATTGCTAGGGGGCTGGCCCCCGTGTGGGAAAATGTAGGGAAAATGGCGCTGCATAGCTTCCAGTAAACAGTCGCTTTCAAACTAGGGAATTTGTGGCTAATTGAGGTAAGACAGTAACTCTGCTTATAGGTGATGCATGTTTATACCATGGCATTGTTGAATACTCCTTTCTAATTGGCTTGATGGGCATTCTAGAGTGTGCATTATGTCCCTATAACGCACGGTATATTTGCACGTCAGAATTCAATGGTTATAGTTCACTCTTACATGTTTTGTTTGAGCTGCTGTTGAATTCAATTTTCATAATAGCAAGCTAGGACTGATGTTTTGGTTAGCTAAACTAGCAAGTCTGTTTGGTTACCATGGCAACTACTGTAGCTATCTAGCTACTTCAGTGGATGTTGAACACATTTCTACTGGCAAATGAACACATTTCTAGCAGTAATGTGTTAAATTATGGCCATGGTATAAAAGGGACAATCAACTCTGGCTCTATGCGTTCTCTGGAAAATAATGCAAGTCTGTGGAAGGTCAGTTCCACTTCGCTAGCGTGGAAAACCCCTTACACGTCATTCATTATTTTCCATAGAACGCATAGCCCCTCGTTGATTATCCCTTACATAATCTACACATTGACACATTCAGCCCAAAGCAGGAGGTTTAAAAAAATACTTACTAGTCGCCAAAGTTCCGGAGCATGTCTTTAACTGACTATATACAATTCCAAGGGAGTCTTGGGATTTGTTCCTTATATAATGGTTTGTTTGTGTGCGTTTCAGATTGTGAAGGAGTGCAACGAGGGTGTGAGGAAGATGAGTCGTACAGAGGAACTCATCAGCATTGAGAAAACACTGGAGTTCAAGTCTAAGGTACCTGCAGCCGCCAGTCATGTGACAACATTCTGTATAGTCAAACAGTGACACTGCCAGACTGACACAAACAGACTTGGTCAAAGGTTATCAATTTCAGTTAGGTTCATAGCCTGTTTGAATCCTTTGATGTCGATGGACCGAAATGTTGGCATTTCAAATATAAAAACTCTGATGTAAAAAAAGAGATCTCCATGATCTATAATAACCCTGAGTTGAACTCTGACCTTGTAAACTGTGACCCTTTCCCTCCAGTCGGTGCCGGTGATCTCCCACTCCCGCTGGCTGCTGAAGAAGGGTGAGGTGCAGCAGATGGCCGGGCCCAAGAGCACTAGGACCATGCGGAGCAAGAAGCTCCACCACCCTGTCTACCTGTTCCTCTTCAACAACCTGCTGCTCATCACCAAGCGCAGCTCCAGGTCAGCACATGACATCATCACACAGAGACAGCTAGTGGTTATTGGGGGTCACAGTGCACACCCACTTTCAGTTTGGGACTTTCTATTGCTCCCCCTTACAACACATTATTTTGTATACAGGTAGTTTCGAAGTCTACACTCGTGGTCAAAAGTTTTGAGAATGACACAAATACTAATTTTCACAAAGTCTGCTGCCTCAGTTTTGATGATGGCAATTTGCATATACTCCAGAATGTCATGAAGAGTGATCAGATGAATTGCAATTAATTGCAAAGTCCCTCTTTGCCATGACAATGAACTTAATCCCCCCAAAACATTTCCACTGCATTTCAGCCCTGCCACAAAAGGACCAGCTGCCATCATGTCAGTGATTCTCTCGTTAACACAGGTGAGAGTGTTGACGAGGACAAGGCTGGAGATCACTCTGTCATGCTGATTGAGTTAGAATAACAGACTGGAAGCATTAAAAGGAGGGTGTTGCTTGAAATCATTGTTCTTCCTCTGTTAACCATGGTTACCTGCAAGGAAACACGTGCCGTCATCATTGCTTTGCACAAAAAGGGCTTCACAGGCAAGGATATTGCTGCTAGTAAGATTGCACCTAAATCAACCATTAATCGGATCATCAAGAACTTCAAGGAGAGAGGTTCAATTGTTGTGAAGAAGGCGTCAGGGCGCCCAAGAAAGTCCAGTAAGCGCCAGGACCGTCTCCTAAAGTTGATTCAGCTGCGGGATCGGGGCACCACCAGTGCAGAGCTTGCTCAGGAATGGCAGCAGGCAGGTGTGAGTGCATCTGCACGCACAGTGAGGCGAATACTTTTGGAGGATGGCCTGGTGTCAAGAAGGGCAGCAAAGAAGCCACTTCTCTCCAGGAAAAACATCAGGGACAGACTGATATTCTGCAGAAGGTACAGGGATTGGACTGCTGAGGACTCGGGTAAAGTCATTTTCTCTGATGAATCCCCTTTGACTCTTTGCATAAACTTAATGTAATTGTCAATAAAAGCCTTTGACACTAATGGAATACTTGTAATTATACTTCAGTATACCATAGTAACATCTGACAAAAAGATTTCATAACACTGAAGCAGTGAACTTTGTTAAGACCAATACGTGTGTCATTCTCAACTTTTGACCACGACTATACTACCTGCAAAACTGCCCTGTGCTCACAGGAGGCTTTGTTTATGTGTGTGTGTTCGTTTGTGTGTGTGTCCCCGTCAGTGGTGAGAAGTTCCAGGTGCTGGACTCGTGCACGCGGGCCATGCTGAGGACTGAGGACCTGGAAGACCAAGGTCAGATGCTGGCCAACGTGTTCAACCTGAAACTCCTGGAGAACCAGGAGGAGAGGTCTGTCAACTACATGCTCAAGACCTCCAGCATGTGAGTGACTACAACTAACAGTATTATATATGAGCCTCAAGCCCCCTTGGCACCTAGTGTACTCTGTACAGTCCTTCTCTGTACGTCATGGTTTATAACGGATCAATCTCCCATGTGTGCCTGTATGCTGCTGCCAGGAGTGATAAACTGCGCTGGATCTGTGCTCTCACGCCAAACCGCCGCACGCGATTCATGTCCACCATCGACCATCTACCAGGTGAGACATACACAAAGATGACACACACCGACACAGAGATGACATCCACTACTCACAGCTGAACTCTTAGGTACCAAATTACAGGTGGTATATACACTACATGACCAAAAGTATGTGGACACCTGCTCGTCGAACATCTAATTCCAAAATCATGGGCATTAATATGGAGTTGGTTCCCCCTTTGCTGCTATAACAGCCTCCACTCTTCTGGGAAGGCTTTCCACTAGATGTTGGAACATTGCTGCAGGGACTTGCTTCCATTCAGCCATTAGTGAGGTCGGGCACTGATGTTGGGCGATTAGGCCGGGTTCGCAGTCAGCGTTCCAATTCATCTCAAAGGTGTTTGATGGGGTTGAGGTCAGGGTTCTGTGCAGGCCAGTCAAGTTCTTCCACACCGACCTCAACAAACCATTTCTGCATGGACCTCGCTTTCTGCACAGGGGCATTGTCATCCTGAAACAGGAAAGGTCTTTCTCCAAACTGTTGCCACAAATTTGGAAGCACATAATCGTCTAAAATGTCATTGTATGCTGTAGCGTTAAGATTTCCCTTCACTGGAACAAAGGGTCCTAGCCCGAACCATGAAAAATAGCCCCAGACCATTATTCCTCCTCCACTGCTCCAGAGTCCAATGGTGGCGAGCTTTACACCACTCTAGCCGACACTTGGCACTGTGCATGGTGATCTTAGGCTTGTGTGCGGCTGCTCGGCCATGGAAACCCATTTCATGAAGCTCCCGACGAACATTTCTTGTGCTGATGTTGCTTCCAGAGGCAGTTTGGAACTACGCGCTTCAGCACTCGGCGGTCCCGTTCTGTGGGCTTGTGTGGCCTACCACTTCGCGGCTGAGCCTTTGTTGCTCCTAAACGTTTCCACTTCACAATAACAGCATAGTTGACCAGGGAAGCAGGGCAGAAATTTGACGAACTGACTTGTTGGAAAGGTGGCATCCTATGACGTTTCCACGTTGAAAGTCACTGAGCTCTTCAGTAAGGCCATTCTACTGCCAATGTTTGTCTATGGAGATTGCATGGCTGTGTGCTTGATTTTATACACCTGTCAGCAACGGGTGTGGCTGAAATAGCTGAATCCACTCATTTGAAGGGGTGTCCACATACTTTTGTGTATATATAGTGTATATTATTAATGTGCCATGGTGTGTGTGTGTGTGTGGTCAGCCTCTCTCCAGGTCCAGTGTATTCAGTCGTACTCATCTCAGGAGCCAGATGAGCTGTCCATTGAGATGGCTGACGTGCTGAACATCCTGGAGACGACAGACGATGGTGAGACCAGACAACATATCTCCTGAGAGATGTTATTACTAGGAGCTCTACTGTAGATTCACCAGGCTGCCTGTTATTTAATATCCCTCCCTTTACTCCCTCTGTTTCTTTATCTACACTCCTCTTCCCTCTCTCCCCGCTCTCCCTCTCTTTCTCCCCTCTATCACCCCCTCAGGCTGGATGATGGGTGAGAGGCTCCATGATGGAGAGAGGGGCTGGTTCCCCTGTCGGGTGGTAGAGGAGATCCAGAACCAGGAAGTGCGGGCCCAGAACCTCAGGGAGTGCCAGAGGATCCACCTGGCCCAGGGAGGGGGCGCTTCCTCAGGGGCCAGACTGGGCTCCCGGGGGGCCAGACGCACCCCCAAAACACCCAAAGTCTCCAACTTCTTCGGTACCTGGACTGACCAGTCAGAGGAGGGGCAGTGAAGCACATAATATTCCACCCTGAAAGTGATTGGTTGGAACCCCCTGGCAGCAATCTTTACTGGACCACATGGCTCAAATGACAGAGATCATGTGATTTGAGCATGGGATTGCATTGGAGGAAAGTGACATCATGCAATGACATTATTTCCTGTTAACTGTTTCCCCTTCTCAGGTGGTTTTGGTGTGCCAGGGTTTAGGGTCCCAGGCTGCAGGGTTTAGGGTTTAGGGTCCCAGGCTCCAGGGTTTAGGGCCCCAGGCACCAGCGTTTAGGGTCCCAGGCTCCCTCGATGGGTCCTACGATCAGAGCACTTCTTCCATAACTCCAACACACTGCATGTCTTACACTACTTCAAGTGGAATGATTCAGCACTAACAGTCTAACTGTAAAACAAGGCTCCAGTAGAATAGGAGCTATGCATGTGATGGGAGAAGAAACAGTTTAAGGGGATGGTAGCATGTGAATGTATTGTAACCTTGCCTCAACTGCATGGGTGTGTTTTTGTTCTTTCATTTTTTTTAAGCGCTTCTTTGCTAGAGAGTTAAATCCCCCAGAACAATGGCTTGACGATCCACCCTTTTGTAAAGAGCAACTCCTCTATTGAAACCATACAAGAAGCAAGTTTTAAAAACAGGCCACCGGCATTGAATGGAAATTAACCGGGAATGTTTCATGATTCTGTACGGTAAATAGAACAATCACATGACAGAGTGCTCAGTATTGGGCTGGAGGTAATCGACTGGAGAAGACGAGCACTACAGAATCACAGGCCTTGCTTACAGAGTGGACATGTGTTCTGGGGGTCAGTTCCCTCGCCAATACTGATATGCCACTTACACATGCACGCACGCTGACATACGCACACACACACACAATCTTGGGGAAATCCTGCACAACCTGTCCAACACCAAAAACGCTCCACGGACACCTGGTCCTGAAGCATCTGCACAGAAAGTGCCAGCACACTGACAGCACTGCAATGGCATGCGAGTGACAAAATGTTTGTGTGTATGATGAGTATGTGTACGTGTGTATATTGTAAGCCTTGAATGTTCAGTATGTAATGAAATAATTACTGAATAATTGTGTAATTTCATTATGTAAGAAGTAATTTATTGTTAATAAAAACTAAATCTGAAATTCAAATGGAAATGATTTGTGTTGATAACTGGTTTGACTGGTATTTAGCCCACATGTTGAGCACTGATTTAGGTTTATCTCTGAATGAATTCCTGGTAATGTGGAGATGTGATTTAACCTGAAGAAAGGTTGCTGACACAATATTCATGTTTACAAAACATTTGACAAACAATAGACCATCGTTTAACATACTACTTGAACAATTGAGCGTTACTATTTTATATTAATATATAATGGTATAATATATAATAAGGTGGCAGGTAGCCTAGTGCAGCCAGTCAAACCCTGGTCCGTGGACCAGCGCCAGTCCATGGCGGAATGCTTGCCAGTCTGCAGCATATTTGTCTTGAATATCATTGGGGGGGGGGGTTTTCTGGTCCTACTTGAGGTAGGTCTACATGCGCAATGTGCTGAACTATGCATGCTGCAGTCTAGGTTAAAGATGGGATGTATTTTGAACCGAGGCTGCAGTAAACAAATTGTGTTGCCATGACGATGTATAGCTACACTAAACACACACACACACACACACACACAATAGCCCTGCGCACAGCCTGCACGCTCACTCTCTCTCTCCCTGGATTTGTTTGAAATGACAGCTGCACACCAAAACCGGTCTGTCAGACTTGCCTCAGCAACAATGCTATGAAGCCATTGAAAATGCGCAGACATTTAGAAACAAAGCATCCCCGTCTCAAGTATAAATAAACACTTCTTTTTTTTACCCAAAAAAGATGAGATGACAAACCAAACAAAAATGCTGCACAATAATTTCACAGACAACGACACTTTACTGAAGGCTTCATACTCTCTCATAACATTTCCAAGTGCCAGGCTTCTTTCACTATAGTTGACAAGCTGGTCATGCCCTCAGTCGTGGATGCTTGCCGAGAAGTTGAAGAACTGCTGCTACAAAGGTCAGTGAAATCCCACTTTACAATAACACTGTCACGTGTATAATTCAGGATATGACAGATGATACTGAATCACAGGTTTTAGACGGAGCCCGCGCATCAAATTGTTTTGCAATCCAATTAGATTAGATGACTGACAATTCAAATTCCCGCTTCTTGTATATATTCGCTACATACAGTGCATTCGGAAAGTATTCAGACTTTTTCCACGTTATGTTACGTTACAGCCTCCATCAATCTACACACAACACGCCATAATGACAAAGCAAAAACCGTTTTTTGGAAATGTTTGCAAATGTAGAAAAATAAAAAACTGTAAATATGATATTTACATAAGTATTCAGACCCTTTACTCAGTACTTTGTTGAAGCACCTTTGGCAGTGATTACAGCCTTGTGTCTTCTTGGGTATGACGCTACAAGCTTGACACACCTGTATTTGGGGAGTTTCTCCCATTCTTCTCTGCAGATCCTCTCAAGCTCTGTCAGGTTGGATGGGGAGCATTGTGGCACAGCTATATTCAGGTCTCTCCAGAGATGTTAGATCTGGTTCAAGTCCGGGCTCTGGCTGGGCCACTCAAGGACATTCAGAGACTTGTCCCGAAGCCACTCCTGCGTTGTCTTGACTGTCTGCTTAGGGTCTCTGTCCTGTTGGAAGGTGAACCTTCGCTACAGTCTGAGGTCCTGAGCGCTCTGGAGCAGGTTTTTATCAAGGATCTCTCTGTACTTTGCTCCGTTCATATTTCCCTCGATCCTGACTTGTCTCCCAGTCCCTGCCGCTGAAAAACATCCCCACAGCATGATTCTGCCACCACCATGATTCACCGTAGGGATGGTGCCAGGTTTCCTCCAGACGTGACGCTTGGCATTCAGGCCATTCAAGAGTTCAATCAGACCAGAGAATCTTGTTTCTCATGGGCCAAATCCTTTAGGTGACTTTTGGCAAACTCCAAGTGGGCTGTCATGTGCCTTTTACTGAGAAGTGACTTCCGTCTGGCCACTCTACCATAAAGGCCTGATTGGTGGAGTGCTGCAGAGATGGTTGTCCTTCTGGAAGGTTCTCCCATCTCCACACAGGAAGTCTGGATCTCTGTCAGAGTGACCATCACCTCCCTGACCAAGGCCCTTCTCCCCCGATTGCTCAGTTTGGCTGGGCGGCCAGCTCTAGGAAGAGTCTTGGTGGTTCCAAACTTCTTCCATTTAAGAATGATGGAGGCCACTGTGTTCTTGGGGATATTTAATGCTGCAAAAAAAAATGGGTACCCTTCCCCAGATCTGTGCCTCGACACAATCATGTCTTGGAGCTCTACGGACAATTCCTTCGACCTCATGGCTTGGTTTTTACTCTGACATGCACTGTCAACTGTGGGACCTTACAGTATATAGACAGGCCTTTCCAAATCATGTCCAATCAATTGAATTTACCACAGGTGGACTCCAATCAAGTTGTAGAAACATCTTAAGGATGATCAATGGATACAGGATTCAACTGAGCTCAATTTCGAGTCTCATAGCAAAGGGTCTGAATACTTCTGTAAATAAGGTATTCATATTTTTAATTTTTAATAAATTTGCACAAATTTCTGAAAACCTGTTTTCGATTTGTCATTATGGGGTATTGTGTGTAGATTGATGAGATATATATATATATATATGTTTTAATCCATTTTAGAATAAGGCTGTAACGTAACAAAATGTGGAAAAAGTCAAGGGGTCTGAATACTTTCAGAATGCACTGTATATATATTATTTTTAGCTAAACAGGTGGGGCTCAAAACAGGTGGGTCTCTGCCCCACCTGCCCTGAATGACGGGTCGCCACTGACTGCACCTATCTGGTGTATGTGAAACATAAAACATATATTATATGCTTTGAGAGATTAAGACTTGTTATGTAATGGGGATTTACCAATATTCATGTTTAACAAACATTAGACCATCTTTTAACATACTACCTGAACAAATGAGCATTACTATTAATATATGATATATAATGTGGTCCTCTGTAACTCAATTGGTAGAGCATGGCGTTTGTAACGCCAGGGTAGTGGGTTTGATCCCCGGGACCACCCATACGTAAAAATGTATGCACACATGACTGTAAGTCGCTTTGGATAAAAGCGTCTGCTAAATGGCATATTATATTATATTATATTATAATGATAATTTTGATGAAACACTACTTCCCCTGCTGTCCAGCTAATGTAAATGCATCTGATTAGTAGATGACCATCCATAGGCTCTACTACTGCATATAGTAGGCCTTCCCTACACATTATAATGAACAGATGTTTAGATTAGATGCCATGACACACATAGTCTACAGTTAGAGGTTTTAGCTTTGTCCAAATTGAGGCCAACCATCTCACTGCATGTTGTGTGCTGCAACCACAGTGGTGGTAAAACCGAACTAAGGACAATTTTACTGCCCTGGACTGTTCTGTAGGATGTTGTGTGTGCTTGTTTTGCTTCGTGTCATGTACTCTATCTTTGTTAATTCTCTTTGTCATTGTTTGAGTAAACCTTGACCTTGTTAATTCCTGCGTCTGCGTCCTGCCTCTTCGTATCCTCAGTACTCGTCACAAGTATTACCCACGGACCTGCACTGATACCAGAGTAGCCATTTGCTTTCTATTTCAGCCACTGTTTAAAATAGCACCTCTCTCACACACTCATCTCGCAACAGCAAACAGCATTTACTGTGTATTTGTGTCTGTGGAAGCATAGGAGAGTGCATAGAGTGCATGTGTGGGAGTGTGTGTTTTAATAGAGCGCTACAGCGGTTTCTTTGAGAGCGTTGACTGAAGGTTGTGTGAATGTTGTCTGAAGGTTGTCTAAATATTGTCTGAAGGTCGTGTGAACGTTGTCTGAAGGTTGGAGCTGGTGGAGTGTCAGGATGCCTTCAGAGGATACCTCTCTAAAAGGCTTCTTGGAGTCTGTGGGAAGTTATGAGGTATATAACATACTACCTGGTACCTCCCTACCTACCACAACGTGCCTAATGGTGCCTGTTTTAATAAATCCCGAAGACAAAAATAGTATTTATGTAATTGCCACTTTACTTGTAATTTCTTTATCGTATTAAACATACAGTGCTACCAAATAATATTTACATTTTTGTAATTTAGCAGACGCTCTTATCCAGAATGATATTAGGATTAAGTGCTTGCTCAATGGTAAATCAACAGATGTTTCACCTAGTCGGCTCGGGGATTCAAACTAGCAACCTTTCAGCACAATGCTCTTGACTTTTATGCTATCTAAGGTTCTGAGTCTTTCCTCTGAAGTTGTAGAGTCAGAGTTCTGAGGTTGTTCTGTTTCCAGGTTGGAGCTGCGGCTGGAGGCGATCATTGGTCGTTTTGGGGAGCTGGATGAGGCAGAGAGGGTCCTGACAGGGAGTCTGGAGCGCCACAGGCAGGCTCTGGCCAAACAAAAACAACAGGAGCAGGTCTGGACCTCTCTATTAGAGGACAGGTGAGCCAGCCATCAAACAACACACTATGAAGACTACCACAGACCACTATCTTCATCTTCATCATCTTCATCCTCATTATCTTCATCATCTTTATTAATTCAAGCCACTATGAATGTAGTGAATTTAAGGATATTGTGTTTTGTTTATTTCATCTCTGCTGTAGGCTACATATTTGCCTCTCGGCTAGGGTGGTCATTATAAATGATAAACCAGTCTGTCTTCCTTTAATTTCTCCCATCATCCCCATCCCCACTGTGGAGGTCAGCCTGCTTTCAAATCAAATCAAATCAAATGTTATTTGTCACATGCGCCGAATACAACAGATGTAAACCTTACAGTGAAATGCTTACTTACAAGCCCTTAACCAACAATGCAATTTTAAGAAAGAATACCAAAACAAATACCCCAAAAACATTAAATAAATAAATAATAAGGAATAAAAGTAACAAATAATTAAAGAGCAGCAGTAAAATAACAATAGCGAGGCTAAATACAGGGGGTACCGGAACCGAGTCAATGTGCGGGGGCACCGGTTAGTCAAGGTAATTGGGGTAATAAGTACATGTAGGTAGAGTTGTTAAAGTGACTATGCATAGATAACAAACAGAGAGTAGCAGTAGCGTAAAAGAGGGGGGAGGGGGAGGGGGGGGGGCAATGCAAATAGTCTGGGTAGCCATTTGATTAGATGTTCAGGAGTCTTATGGCTTGGGGGTAGAAGCTGTTTAGAAGCCTATTGGACCTAGACTTGGCGCTATGGTACCGCTTGTCGTGCGGTAGCAGAGAGAACAGTCCATGACTAGGGTGGCTGGAGTCTTTTACAATTTGTAGGGCCTTCCTCTGACACCGCCCAGTATAGAGGTCCTGGATGGCAGGAAGCTTGGCCCCTGTGATGTACTGGGCCGTACGCACTACCCTCTGTAGTGCCTTGCAGTCGGAGCCCGAGCAGTTGCCATACCAGGCAGTGATGCAACCAGTCAGGATGCTCTCGATGGTGTAGCTGTAGAACTATTTGAGGATCTGAGGACCCATGCCAAATCTTTTCAGTCTCCTTAGGGGGAATAGGTTTTGTCGTGCCCTCTTTACAACTGTCTTGGTGTGCTTGGACCATGTTAGTTTGTTGGCAATGTGGACACTAAGGAACTTGAAGCTCTCAACCTGCTCCACTACAGGCCTGTCAATGAGAATGGGGGCTTGCTCGGTCCTCTTCTTTTCCTGTAGTCCACAGTCATCTCCTTTGTCTTCATCACGTTGAGGGAGAGGTTGTTGTCCTGGCACCACACGGCCAGGTCTCTGACTTCCACCCTATAGGCTGTCTCGTCGTTGTCAGTGATAAGGCCTACTACTGTTGTGTCATCGGCAAACTTAATGATGGTGTTGGAGACGTGCCTGGCCATGCAGGCCATGCAGTCATGAGTGAACAGTGAGTACAGGAGGGGACTGAGCACGCACCCCTGAGGGGCCCCCGTGTTGAGGACCAGCGTGGCGGATGTGTTGTTACCTACCCTTACCACCTGGGGGCGGCCCGTCAGGAAGTCCAGGATCCAGTTGCAGAGGGAGGTGTTTAGTCCCAGGGTCCTTAGCTTAGTGATGAGCTTTGAAGGCACTATGGTGTTGAACGCTGAGCTGTAGTCAATGAATAGCATTCTCACATAGGTGTTCCTTTTGTCCAGGTGAGAAAGGGCAGTGTGGAGCGCAATAGAGATTGCATCATCTGTGGATCTGTTGGGGCGATATGCAAATTGAGTGGGTCAAGGGTTTCTGGGATAATGGTGTTGATGTGAGCCATGACCAGCCTTTCAAATCACTTCATGGCTACAGACGTGAGTGCTACTGGTCGGTAGTCATTTAGGCAGGTTACCTTAGTGTTCTTGGGCAAAGGGACTATGGTGGTCTGCTTGAAACATGTTGGTATTACAGACTGAGACAGGGAGAGGTTGAAAATGTCAGTGAAGACACTTGCCAGTTGGTCAGCGCATGCTCGGACTACACGTCCTGGTAAGCCGTCTGTGAATGTTGACCTGTTTAAAGGTCTTACTCACATCGGCTACGGAGAGCGTGATCACACAGTCGTCCGGAACAGCTGATGCTCTCATGCATGTTTCAGTGTTACTTGCCTCGAAGCGAGCATAGAAGTAATTGAGCTCCTCTGGTAGGCTCGTGTCACTGGGCAGCTCGCGGCTGTGCTTCCCTTTGTAGTCTGTAATAGTTTGCAAGCCCTGTCACATCAGACGAGCGTCGGAGCCGGTGTAGTATGATTCGATCTTAGTCCTGTATCGACGCTTCGCCTGTTTGATGGTTCGTCGGAGGGCATAGCGGGATTTCTTATAAGCGTCCGGGTTAGAGTCCCGCTCCTTGAAAGCGGCAGCTCTACCCTTTAGCTCAGTGTGGATGTTGCCTGTAAACCATGGATCTGGTTGGGGTATGTACGTACAGTCACTGTGGGGACGACGTCATCGATGCACTTATTGATGAAGCCAATGACCGATGTGGTGTACTCCTCAATGCCATCGGAAAAATCCCGGAACATATTCCAGTCTGTGCTAGCAAAACAGTCCTGTAGCTTAGCATCTGCTTCATCTGACCACTTTTTTATTGACCGAGTCACTGGTGCTTTTTGGGTATGTGTCTGACACCTTCCACAGCTTCCACACTCTGGTCCTGCAGGGCGTGCCTGACCTGGCCCCCAGCCTGCCCACCACCGCCTCTGTCCTCCGCAAGCGGCCCAAGGACAGCCGGGTGGACAAGGCTATGGGGCTGCTCTGAGGGAGCTGGGCCTGGGGGAGAGCGATGCCAAGGCCCTCTGAGCCTTCTTCATCACCCATGGGTACCAGTGTGACTACCAGAGGACAGGGAAGAGGGACGGGCAGCAGCAAAGCGACGTGGAGGCTGTGATACGGAGGTGTGTCCAGAACCAGGTGCTGAGGGACAGTTTGCTAAGGGCCGTGCAGGTGGTGGAGAGAGGCAAGGCGGGACCCATGTTGACTCACCTTATTTACCTGGCTAACTTCCTTTAATGGGACTAGCTCAGCGTTTCACAAACTCGGTCCTCGGGACCCCAAGGGGTGCACGTTTTGGTTTTGCCCTAACACTACACAGCTATTTTCAAATTATCAAAGCTTGATGATTAATTTATTATTTGAAACAGCTGTGTAGGCTAGGGCAAAAAACTAAACGTGCACCCGTTGGGGTCCCGAGGACCGAGTTTGGGAAACGCTGAGCTAGATGTAGTAGTCCCATTAAAGGACGTTAGCCAGGTAGCCTAGGACAACAAAAACTAAAAGTGTGTACTGTATGACAGAGTCATAGACAGAGTCACAGACGATTTCAGCAACATGAAAGAGAGGAGGATGGCATTGGCGTTCCTCTACAAGTAAGGTGAGTCAACATGTTTTTTCTACTTGCGCACATACACACACACATGCACACACAGAAATCAATACCATGGACACCCACATGATATTTAGCTTACGTTGATTGGACTACATTATTTTTGGAATATTTTAGTTGTCACTGTATTAGACTAAGCATAGGTGATTTGATGATGTTGAAATGTTGAAGTTGAAATGGAGCGGTAACTCTCCGGTTCTCTAAATTAATAGTTGTTTAGTAGTCCGAAAATGTCAGAAACATTAACTTGATTGACCATGTTGTAGTAGGTCACGTAACTGTTTGTTACATGCAATAGCCTATGCTTTGTGTACTCCACAGGACAGATGTTGCTCTCCGGTTTTGTGATGTAGCAAAGGTGGTGTTGAATTTATTCTGACATTTTGTCTTCTTATTGTCTCGGGCCTTAGGCCTACATATACAGTTGAAGTTGAAGTTTACATACACCTTAACCAAATACATTTAAACTCAGTTTTTCACAATTCCTGACATTTAATCCTCGTAAAAATTCCCTGTCTTAGGTCAGTTATGATCACCACTTTTTATTTTAAGAATGTGAAATGTCAGAATAATAGTAGAGAGAATGATTTATTTCAACTTTTATTTATTTAATCACATTCCCAGTGGGACAGAAGTTTACATACACTCAATTAGTATTTGGTAGCATTGCCTTTAAATTGGTTAACTTCGGTCAAACGTTTTGGATAGCCTTCCACAAGCTCCCGACAATAAGTTGGGTGAATTTTGGCCCATTCCTCCTGACAGAGCTGGTGTAACTGAGTCAGGATTGTAGGCCTCCTTGCTCGCACACGCTTTTTCAGTTCTGCCCACAAATGTTCTATAGGATTGAGGTCAGGGCTTTGTGATGGCCACTCCAATACCTTGACTTTGTTGTCCTTAAGCCATTTTGCCACAACTTTGGAAGTATGCTTGGGGTCATTGTCCATTTGGAAGACCCATTTGAGACCAAGCTTTAACTTCCTGACTGATGTCTTGAGATGTTGCTTCAATATATCCACATAATTTTCCTTCCTCATGATGCCATCTATTTTGTGAAGTGCACCAGTCCCTCCTGCAGCAAAGTACCCCCACAGCATGATGCTGCCACCCCCGTGCTTCACGGTTGGGATGGTGTTCTTCGGCTTGCAAGCAACCCCCTTTTTCCTCCAAACATAACGATGGTCATTATGGCCAAACAGTTCTATTTTTGTTTCATCAGACATTTCTCCAAAAAGTACGATCTTTGTCCCCATGTGCACTGTAAAACTGTGGATATAGATACTTTTGTACCTGTTTCCTCCAGCATCTTCACAAGGTCCTTTGCTGTTGTTCTGGGATTGACAGAACGCGTCTCCTTCCTGAGCGGTATGACGGCTGCGTTGTCCCATGGTGTTTATACTTGCGTACTATTGTTTGTACAGATGAACGTGGCACCTTCAGGCGTTTGGAAATTGCTCTCAAGGATGAACCAGACTTGTGGAGGTCTACAATTATTTTTCTGAGGTCTTGGCTGATTTCTTTTGATTTTCCCATGATGTCAAGCAAAGAGGCACTGAGTTTGAAGGTAGAAAAAAAAGTATTTAGTCAGCCACCAATTGTGCAAGTTCTCCCACTTAAAAAGATGAGAGAGGCCTGTAATTTTCATCATAGGTACACGTCAACTATGACAGACAAAATGAGAGAAAAAAATCCAGAAAATCACATTGTAGGATTTTTAATGAATTTATTTGCAAATTATGGTGGAAAATAAGTATTTGGTCACCTACAAACAAGCAAGATTTCTGGCTCTCACAGACCTGTAACTTCTTCTTTAAGAGGCTCCTCTGTCCTCCACTCATTACCTGTATTAATGGCACCTGTTTGAACTTGTTATCAGTATAAAAGACAACTGTCCACAACCTCAAACAGTCACACTCCAAACTCCACTATGGCCAAGACCAAAGAGCTGTCAAAGGACACCAGAAACAAAATTGTAGACCTGCACCAGGCTGGGAAGACTGAATCTGCAATAGGTAAGCAGCTTGGTTTGAAGAAATCAACTGTGGGAGCAATTATTAGGAAATGGAAGACATACAAGACCACTGATAATCTCCCTCGATCTGGGGCTCCACACAAGATCTCACCCCGTGGGGTCAAAATGATCACAAGAACGGTGAGCAAAAATCCCAGAACCACACGGGGGGACCTAGTGAATGACCTGCAGAGAGCTGGGACCAAAGTAACAAAGCCTACCATCAGTAACACACTACGCCGCCAGGGACTCAAATCCTGCAGTGCCAGACATGTCCCCCTGCTTAAGCCAGTACATGTCCAGGCCCGTCTGAAGTTTGCTAGAGTGCATTTGGATGATCCAGAAGAGGATTGGGAGAATGTCATATGGTCAGATGAAACCAAAATAGAACTTTTTGGTAAAAACTCAACTTGTCGTGTTTGGAGGACAAAGAATGCTGAGTTGCATCCAAAGAACACCATACCTACTGTGAAGCATGGGGGTGGAAACATCATGCTTTGGGGCTGTTTTTCTGCAAAGGGACCAGGACGACTGATCCGTGTAAAGGAAAGAATGAATGGGGCCATGTATCGTGAGATTTTGAGTGAAAACCTCCTTCCATCAGCAAGGGCAATGAAGATGAAACGTGGCTGGGTCTTTCAGCATGACAATGATCCCAAACACACCGCCCGGGCAACGAAGGAGTGGCTTCGTAAGAAGCATTTCAAGGTCCTGGAGTGGCCTAGCCAGTCTCCAGATCTCAACCCCATAGAAAATCTTTGGAGGGAGTTGAAAGTCTGTGTTGCCCAGCGACAGCCCCAAAACATCACTGCTCTAGAGGAGATCTGCATGGAGGAAAGGGACAAAATACCAGCAACAGTGTGTGAAAACCTTGTGAAGACTTACAGAAAACGTTTGACCTGTGTCATTGCCAACAAAGGGTATATAACAAAGTATTGAGAAACTTTTGTTATTGACCAAATACTTATTTTCCACCATAATTTGCAAATAAATTCATTAAAAATCCTACAATGTGATTTTCTGGATTTTTTTCTCTCATTTTGTCTGTCATAGTTGACGTGTACCTATGATGAAAATTACAGGCCTCTCTCATCTTTTTAAGTGGGAGAACTTGCACAATTGGTGGCTGACTAAATACTTTTTTTCCCCACTGTACATACACAGGTACACCTCAAATTTACTCAAATGATGTCAATTAGCCTATCAGAAGCTTCTAAAGCCATGACATCATTTTCTGGAATTTTCCAAGCTGTTTAAAGGCACAGTCAACATAGTGTATGTAAACTTCTGACCCACTGGAATTGTGATACAGTGAATTACAAGTGAAATAATCTGTCTGTAAACAATTGTTGGAAAAATTACTTGTGTCATGCACAAAGTAGATGTCCTAACCGACTTGCCAAAACGATAGTTTGTTACCAAGAAATTTGTGGAGTGGTTGAAAAACGAGCTTTAATGACTCCAACCTAAGTGTATGTAAACTTCCGACTTCAACTGTATCATATGAACTAACAGGTTATTGAGCAGGGCGTTGACCCTGGTTGCTTCTATGGGTCGCTCTGGATGGGAGTCGGTTAGATGACTGAATGAAATGTAAATATTGAGCGTCTTCACTGCAAGTAGATAGTATGTTTTAAGAAAAAAAAAGAAAAAAAAAGGTTATAGAGCAAACAACGCAATTATCACAACACAGGTTGTAATATGGCTTTTCTTCCCTGGCTTGCGTTTCCCAATGATTTTACCCACACACCACTACTGCTAAAAACTGACTAGGTTTCCCCTTTTATCTGTGGATTAATTGTCGGAGTAGAGAACACACGATTTTGCGTGACTCAAAAAGGGTCCAAATTCTACAAAGATCCAGCAAAATAAAGAACCATATGCATTTTAGGTAAAATAACAACCCATGTTTAGCCTATATCGCAGGACAAATAAGCTAGCAACAGCAAGCTAGCTAAATGTCCATGAATGTTTCATAAAGTATGTGTTTCAACCTGTACTCAAATAAATACAGTTGGTTCCAGTGGCGATTTTAGCATGCAAATCTTGGTGGCGATTTTAGCATGTAAATCTTGGTGTGGCAAAAAAATAAACATATGTTTCAGATGCATGCCAGCAAAGCCACTACACAACACAGTACTAAACAATACATTAATTGCACTATAACGGTGACAAACGGTGCCAACAAACTGTTAGGGCCTACATAAAGCTGTCCCAACAGCAGAGCTTTCAGCACCATGGAGTGAATCCTTACCACCGCTACACCTGGCTATCATTGGAGCCTTGTCTGGCAGCGAAACAGTTCATTCAGCCTCATTTACTGCCTTTAAAAAAAACATAGCTGATATGGCTGACTTGCTTAAAC